ACTGCTTTTTGGACCACTCGAATTTACATACACACCGTCGTGGAAGATCGACCTATCTCGGCATCAAGTTCGAAAACGCCCTATGTTAGAAAACTGCTCAACAACGCCTTATTTCAGAATTTGATTGAAGAACGCCCTATCTCAGAATTTGGGTCAAATTTTCAATATATTTTCATTTGAGATAGGGCGTTTTTGAATCGAGTTCTAAGATGAGGTGTTCTTCAACCAAATTCTAAGTTAGGGTGTGTTTCCATAAAATTATGAAGTATAGCGTTCTTGAAAAGTTTCCTGAGATACGGCGTTTTTGAACTGGCTGCCGAGATATGTAGGTCGATCTTCCATGACGAAATATTTTGAGCATAAATACAGTTAAGCTTTGGTTTCCTCGAAAGCGGTAACATAAAAAAGCGGTCGCAACTTTACGTTGCCATGTAAATATTGCAAGATGACAATTAAGATGACGGCAATACACACTGTAATGTAATTTGACGGCACCGTAATATTTCTGACGGCAACAGTGACGTTGTGTAAATATTTATCAACGTTTTTTGGCAACGTCATATTTGTAGCGGTGGATTAGAAAATTTGTTTACAATTCTTTTGACCAAAATAAAAGCATTAAATATACATTTCTATGAATTTTGAATAATAAAGTGGAAAGTGCATGGATGGCCGAAGAGGATGAAGTCCTAATAAACGTTGTGAAAAGCAATGAATGCATAACAACATAAAAGCGCAAAGTTGCGCTACGTCCATTTAGCTTTACATAAAAGCGGTACCGCTATAAGCGTTAAGAATAGCGTTCGGTATGATACGGTCGTAATATTACGGCACCGCTTTTCGAGGAAACCAAAGCTTTACTCAAACAAGTAACTGACTGTTGATTTTTTTTTTTAATATTCACAATGTGGTTGCCTGGTTATCAGGTTTTCTGGTTATGTGGTTATATTTTTTATTCAGTACACAACATTAAAATACACTACAGAATAATAATTTTCAACCAGATAACCAGGCAAGTGTAAACAACCACAATATTTTTCAAGCGAAATTTTTTTTCTATAAAAATATTGCCCACGCTTTAACCAAAACTATAAAAATCAAAGTTTCAAAGTGTATATAAAATTTGGAAAAATTCCACAAATTTTCAAACTTTGTAATCTGAGTCTTTAGAAAATTTTTCGATACTCAATTTTATAACACACAATTTTATTGTCATGAAGTGCAAGTTTCAAACAGCGTGTTGATTTTTGATAATTTTTCTCGTGACGGTTTTGGTCTTTTTTATATGACAAGTAAAATTTATAAAAACTGTCGGAAATTTTTTTATATTTCATTGCAAACTGTCTTCCGCATTTTATCATAAGAAATGCATGCTTATATGGAAAAAAGAGCAAAAATTCGTTAGCAAAAAAATATATTAAAAATCAACGCGAATTTTTAGCCGGTTAAAACTTGCACTTGTTTTGGACTCAAATTGTATGTTGTAGCCCATACAATTGCATACCCGAAAATGTTGTAAAGATTCAAATGAAAAATTTTATGAAAATTTGTTAAGTTTTCCCAAGTTTGGTATAAAGTTTGGATTTTGATTTACATGGCTTTGGCTAAAGCATTGACAATATTTTTATAGAAAATTAACAAAAAAAAAAATTTATTTGGAAAACATTGTGAATATTATAAAAATCAACACGTGTTTACTTGTGTGAGTTAGTGCACATTCAAACGTCATTGACTGGTTCAAAACTTGTTTCTTCGAGTGGAGAGTTTGGGCTCTTAACAAACGTTAAGAGACAAAAAAAATCAAATCTCCGAGAGGATCTCGATATGTTGGTGAAAGTTAAAATATATAAAGAATTTTTTGTGATTTTATACAAAAAAAGTAATATTTTTGTGTGATGCACATTCATACATACCTGGGCGTAGCCAGAACGATATTTAGGGGGGGCCCCATACAAAAAAAAATTCAAAACCAATAACTTACTTACTAAAAAATTTTTTATTATAGCTTAAAATTATTGTAACCAATAGACGTAAATATGTTGCAACTAACTGTTGTAACTGTATAAAACTATTCGTCGATTTTATTGTTAACTTTTTACTGAGCATGTTTATTTTACGAGGAGGAAGCATCGAAAGCCTAACCCCGTCAGTGTGAGACTTTAACCCAAACTAAACTTCCTACCGTCATGTACCGTTCCCCTCCCGGTACCACCGTCAAGGATTTCGTCGGGATTATAACGCTGTGTGACTGATAAGGTTATAGATCTATTCTCTTCTTCTTCTTCTTATTTGGCGCTGTAACCGCCAAAGCGATTTTGGCCAACCGACGCCAATTGGAAATGCCAAGTGAAGCCAGAATACTTTCAGAGGTGGGGCGTCGGTGTCCATTCGAACGACATGGTCAAGCCAGTTGAGCCGCTGTATTTTAATTCGCCATATACCAGCACGGGCATGATGAGTGATTTATAGTGTGGTTTTCGTACGTCGAGAGAGGACTTTACTCCTGAATTGCCTACTCAGTCCAAAGCAGTACTTGTTGGCAAGAGCGATTCTGCGTTGGATTTCCATGCTGACATTATTATCGGTGTTAATGCTGGTTCCCAAGTAAACGAAATTCTCTACTTTCTCGAAATTACAACTGTCGAAAGTGACGTGGGTGCCAAGGCGCGAATGTGGTGATTGTTTGTTTGATGACAGGGATACTTCGTCTTGTCCTCGTTTACCACCAGACCCATTCGCTTTGCTTCCTTGTCCAACTTGGAAAAGCCAGGACAGGCTTCGCGGCTGAAACCCCGTCTGGTGGCGAACGGCAACAGAGCAGAGCTGGTGGTATTGCTCAACGTCATTTTTCACAGCCGTATGAGTTTTGAGGGGATATAGGAAACTTCTTTTAGTGCTGTCGAAAGCGGCTTTAAAGTCGAAATATAGGTGGTGAGTGCCGATCCTTTTCTTGCGGGTCTTTTCCAAGATTTGGCGTATTGTGAATACCTGGTCTATGATAGACAATACATTTGATAAGACCTTGCCACCTATACTTAGAAGGCTGATCCCGCGGTAGTTGGCACGCATGGCGGGGTCGCCTTTCTTGTGGATTGGGCAGAGCGCACTTGAATTCCAGTCGTCGGGCATGTACCTTATTACCTCCTTGCCATCGTAATTAAATAGCTCAGCTGACAGGCCGTCAGCTCAAGCAGCTTTGGCACTTTTCATCATAGTCAGGCGCTGGGATATCGACTCCATCGTCATCGACTGGGACCTCGGGTTCGTCTTCTCCACTTCTTTCAGTGCTTCTGCCATTCAAAAGGGTCGAAAAGTGTTCCCTCCATATTCTGAGTATGTTTTGGACATCGGTCACTAGGTCGCCATGGTTGTTCCTACAAGAGTCTTGACACCTTCCGTAAGTCGCTCAACCCTCTACTAAAAATTTCGGGTGTTTTTTCTGTCGGCCAGCATTTCAATTATTTTCTCACACTCCTCATCATACCAGTAATGAGCGGGAAATGTGGTTTCACTGATCGCGCAAGTCGGTTTGTTGAAGAGTGCTCTCTCACAGCAGGTGTGAGGGTCGAGCGCCGAATCCATTGGCCGTCTGTTTTGATTGCAGCTTTTCGACGTTGAACTTTCCTTGCATTGTTGGGGGCCCTTTTTTGCTGCTCCGAGGTTGGGTCGTATATTGGATGCATCAATATAGTAGTGCCAGTCGATATTTGGCCCTCGGAGTGTAAGTATGTACACCTAAAACACTGGAAGCATGCCTTCCGTCTATCGCAACATGCTCGATTTGGTTTCCCGTTTTTCGATCTGAAGACACCCATGTAGCTTGAAGGATCTTTTTATGCTAGAACCCAGTAATACACACTGCCAAGTTTCGGGCCCCGGCGAAGTCGATGACCCTCAGCTAATATGTACGCTCTAAGTTAAGAGAGCCTTGGATACACATATGAATGAGATGTTGAAGAATCTCGCTTTGATGCGGATTGTGGCTAGCCTTTCGTCCAATAGAGTGAACGCCGGTCTCTCTCCCACCACAAATCCAACACCGAATTGCACTCCTTTACGTGGTAACTGTAGTAGACGTCGCAAGGCTCCACCCTTACCTTCCTCGCCCCGCCCATCGCATTTCGTGGATGGCGGTGATGTCAGCCTTTATTTTCCCTAGGACAACAACCTGCCGGGCAGAGGCACCATCCCGATTAAGGGTTCGGATGGTCCAAGTGCATACCCTAAAATCATAGTCCTTCCTATGTTTGCCGTGATCGTCATCAAAAGAAGGGGTATTATCCGAGGCATGTGTTTTTTTCATTGGGCGGGGTTCTAACGTGGCGGGACCCAAACCCAGCGCACGCGGGCCACTCCCAGTTGAATGGCAGTCGAAAGCTATGCAGTACTGGGAAATGTACAAAACATAGTGGTCAAAAGCGAATATCTCAACTAAGCCCTGATGTATTTTTTAAATTCATAGCTCTACATACCTGTATAGTAAACCAAATAGCCGGACCAGACGTTGTTTAAAATAAAAAATGTAAAAAATAAACTTTTTTCTTCCTACGCTTATCTTAAATTATACACATAGGTATGTATAAATATGAGGGCGTATTGAACATTTTGAGTATGCAGATTTTTTATGCTGGTATATTCATTTATGCTAAGTATATTACTTGAATTTGTTTTGTCACACTTAAGAAGTAAACGTCTTGGCTGTTCACCCAACCGGTCTATAGTTTTATCCATAATCTCAGATTGTACAGAAAAGACTAAGCACTTGAACTATAAATTTATTTATAGTTTCTGTTCAATCCATTTTGTGGTAATATATTTCAATATCTAGGCAAAAATTTGGAAGTTAGGGGGGCCCGCCCCTCACCCCCCTGCCCCTACCTGGCTACGCCCATGCATACATACATACATAATATGCATTTCTTTCTTCCGCATTTTGGAAGCAAATTGAGAACTTTAAACGTGTACATATATTTAATATGATTATATTTTACAAATTGCAGGGCTATGAGACACGCATGGGTGAGAAAGGCACACAATTGTCCGGTGGTCAAAAGCAGCGAATCGCCATCGCCCGCGCCATGGTTAGAAATCCGAAAATCTTGCTACTTGACGAAGCCACATCAGCTCTTGATGCTGAGAGCGAAAAGGTTTATATTAACTACATACATACATCAGTTTTTTTTTTTTTTATATTTGTGATCATATGGACTGTACAAGTATAATTATTTTATTTAATTGCAGATTGTACAGGATGCTCTAGATGCGGCTAGTAAAGGAAGAACAACTATTAGCATTGCTCATAGATTATCTACAATTGTTGACTCCGATTTGATATTTGTGCTCGACAATGGCCAAGTTGCTGAATGTGGTTCACATAAGGAGCTCTTGAAGTTGCGTGGTATATACAACACACTGTGGAGACTGCAAACTGGCAGTTAATAATAATACTACGATCTTGCACCGCATGGTGCTACTTATTAAGCATCTGTCGATATATTTATGAATCATTAGTATGCCATCCTAGTTACTTCTGTGAAATACGTTTTTATGTACTTAAATTAGGGTGGCCCTGTGGCACAATAAAGTTAAGGCGTGCCGACCGCCACCCAAATTTGAATATAAGTGGTTTTTCGCTTAACGTCTTATTTAGTTTTTCAAATTTTTAGATGTATATATTTAGAAATAAAATAGGGCGAGCAATGATTATACTCTTTCAGCTTGTTTGATTGTAGAGGCGTGGCAGCCACCTTTTCGAACAGTTAAAATTTTTCCAATGTTTTTTTTTAAGTGAAACTGTGGCTGCCATGGTTAGAATCATGCAAGAAAAATGTAAACTATCTTTAATATTACGTTCAAATTGGCCCCATTTATGTTATTAAATGAAAAAGAGCTTTTTGGAAAAAACAATCGTCTACATTGAGCATGGCGCAATAAACAGGTGAAGTAATAAGGCAGCATTCTCTGTTCATTTGCTGACATTCGGCTACCTTATATTTCACAATGTTGCCTTTATTCGTTGAACGTTTTATATGTTGCTTCTTTGCAAGTATTTACATATATTTTGGGGCGATTATTATTTGCTTGCAACATTGTTTTTTTTTTCTAAAATTTTCCGTTTGAATTTTAGTGGAAAAATACTATAATATTTATTTGTGATTAAAAAATTAATAATGCCTAGGCGAAGCCTTGTAAATTGCAGAAAAACGAATAAGTTGGATATTTCAAATATATAATGGCGAAGTAATTTTTGGCACCACCAACTTCTCCGAAAAATTATTATCCCACAGCCATAAAATAGACCTTCCAATAAATATGAAAAAGCTATTTTTTTAATTGCAGGCTGCGTATCCGTATAATTTATTTAAATAGGCGCTTGAAAGGCGAGCAAAAAATTCGTTTGTACACAGGAATCGTACTTTTAATAACATAAAATAAAAAAACACATTTTTCCACTATTTATTGATTGCTTCACAGACAACATAATTATTTTTATACCCAAGCGCACTTGTTCAAAAGGGTATATTAATTTTGTTCACATAACGGTTGTTTGTAACAGCCAAAACGAATCGAGATAGATAGATATAGACAAATGTATACATAAATGCTCAGAATGAATAGAGAAGTCGATTAAGCCATGTCTGTCTGTCCGTCCGTCCGTGTACACGAAAACTCGAGCACAAATTTAGATATCTCAACGAAATTTGGTATGTAGGTTTCCATTTATCCAAGGTAGGTTGGTATTGAAAATGGGCGAAATCGAACAATAACCACGCCCACTTCCCATATAACGGTAATTACCAGAAATACGAAAACTGCGATATTTTAGTAACTACTGAAGATAATTCACTCAAAATTGACATTTAGAATAACTTTTAGACGAAAAATAAGAATATTAAAAATTTTTGGAAAATGGGCGTAGCCACGCCCACTTATAGTTACATGTGTATATCTTGGTAACCGCTGCACCGATTTCTTCCAAACTTGTCACAGTTGTTGGCCTTGGTACAGCATACCAAGCGAATGAAAGGACAGAACCGCAAGTTTTGGAGATAGCTAAAAAATCGTATTTTCATTTTAGCGATAGCGAAATTTAGAATCCGGCTGCTGTTCGACACAGTTGGCTTTTTGATTTCGAAAAGAACTTCATCAGCAGGAAACGCAACATTTTCAGATATGAATATTTTAGCATACTTCCCAAATTGTTTTCCATAATCTTCGTCTTTCTTTGATAAATAATGGCTAAAAGGATGCGTGTTTTCTTCTAAGAGTTTCATGAAACTTTCCCAAATATCAATAGCACTAAAATTAAAAAAAAATCGGAAAATAACCACGCCCACATCCCATATAACGGTAATTTAGAGAAATACAAAATCTTCGATAAATCAGTAATTATTAAAGCAAATTTATTCAAAATTGATGCTTGCAACAATTCTTTGCCAAGAAATACGTTGATGGTAAAATTTTGAAAAAGGGGCGTGGGACCGCCCCCTTATGATCACATATATGTATATCGGTAACCGTTCTACCAATTTGTACCAAACTCGGTATTTTTATTATTATAAAATTACGGCCGCTTTTCATATAACGGTAAATTTCAGAAATGCTTGAAACTGCAATATTTCGAAATTTAGGGACGCTAATTTACTCAAAATTGATATATCCCGGCTTACCATCTAGCGGTACGTTTCGAAAAGGTGAAAAAACATATATTTAATACTTGCGCCGGGTATTTAATGTTCGGCTCCGCACGAACTTAGACTTTCTTACTTGTTATGACTATAGCCTTTAACAAGCAGTGTGTTCTTAGTTTATGTACATGTAATACCATGTTCGGACCGACAACGAAAACTCTTTGAAAAAGAGTTTTGGGATTGTGGGCTCAAAACTGTTCGCACCGGATGTTAGTGTTTTCGTTGACATTTCTTTCATCTTTTGTTTACAGTTTTGCTACGAAAAAACAAAATCAAAATCTTTGTCTTTCATTTTCTTATCACTAGCAACCCTGCCAGCCACGGCTCACCACTTTCCCCTAAAATTCAAACGATTTACAAACACATTCATAACTTACCCAACAGGCATTTCAGTAAATGTTTTTAAAAATAACTCTAAGTAAGTTTGCTATANTAACTTACCCAACAGACATTTCAGTAAATGTTTTTAAAAATAACTCTAAGTAAGTTTGCTATAATAAGCGTTAAATAAGCATTTTTAATATTAAGTTTATTTAAAGTTTTTTTCAAATAAACCTTTAATAAGTGTTGAGAGCGAATGTTTATAAATGATTTAAACTTAAAAATGAAATGCAAATTCCAACGACATGAGCTATAAATATAACATTTTTTCAAGTGTTAGTGACATGTTTACTTTCTTTAAAATATATTTTAATTATAATTATTAAAAGAAAAAGTAAATAGATAGAAATGTCGCGTTTAAAACGTGAAAAAAGACAGTGTAAAGAAATTATAAATTTGCTTATGAGTAGTGAAGTCTGCGGAGAAAAAATTGAACATAACATTCAATCCGATCCAGGGCCCGCTTTGTCAATCGGTGGAATATTGGAGCCTGCATATGATGAGTTATCCTTATCCGACGAAAATGTTTTGCCCACGTTCAATGAAGCATTAGCCGCTTGGCTTGTTAAGTACAATATAAGTCACGCTGCAGGGAACGAGTTGCTTACAATGTTGCAGCGAAAAATTGAGCATTTACCTTTGGATGTTAGGACATTGAAACGCACACCGAAAGATCCTCCAACAGTAAAAATGGCGGATGGAGAATATGCGCACTATGGACTAAAAGACAGCCTAACAGATTTCANAATTGAACGCACACCGAAAGATCCTCCAACAGTAAAAATGGCGGATAGAGAATATGCGGGGAAAATTTTCCAAAACGGATCCAGGCTTTGAAAAAAAAAATATTAGGGAGTATAGAGGAGCTTTTTCAGATTCTAAATCTGAAGACCCCACCCTCCGGAGGCTTATAGTTTTAAAGTAATTCGCATTTAAGGTTGCAAAAAATACCGAATTTAACCTCACCTTTTGCTTTGTACACCAATTGAAGTGAAATGTCAGTGCTGCCATACATATGAAAAAATGCCTCAAAAACACAAAACGGAAGCATTAAAAAAATGCAGATAATGATCGCGCGATATTTAATAAAAAAATTTAATTATTTATTGGTCGATTTTTGATTAAAAAGTTGCATAATTTATCGAAGTATCGATTTTATAATAAAAAGCGATGTTTTAATAAAAATGTTCATTATTTATGGAAGTATCGATTTTTAGAATATAAAGCGCCGCAGGCGAAAATTTTTAATAAAAAATCGCGCGATTTTTTATTAAAAATTTTCGATATATATGGAACTATATTAATATATGGTTACTGGGTGTTTTATATAAAATCACGCGATTTTATATAAAAAAATTTCATAATTTATGAAAGTATATTAAAAAAAAAGCTTCTGCATGCGAAAAAATAAGAAGAGAATAAAAGAAATACCGTTGGAATACGGTTGCCATAAAAATATGACGATTTTACACACAACTCCTTTTTGTGTTGGCCGCGTTTTAATAAAATCCTTTAATAGTGGCGTATTTACTTTTAAAACGTATGGCAGCACATATTTGCTCTTACTGTCGGCCATTGTTATTTCTGTTTGTTTGTGAAAAGTGGTAAAACGTGAACACAAATTTATAAACGCGTTTTACTTAATTAATTGGTGAATTATATGTAATAAAAGCATAAAATACGCATGTGAGCATTGAAAATATAATATGTAACACAAAATATAAGTGATAAGTGGCATATTTTAAAAAAATTAAGGGGTGATAGTGGACATTATTTAACAACAAATTGCTAAAATACTATTAGCAATTATATTGTGAGAGTGAACAAGTCATGTTGAGGAGGCCTCCCCCAACATCCTCACCAAGTTTCATGACGAAATTCCTTATACTTTCGCTGAAATTTCGATTGGTTCCGTTTTGGAAAGCCCACCCAATATGCGCACTATGGACTAAAAGACAGCCTAACAGATTTCATGCGTATACATAAGCCGGAATTGTTGATGTTGGAATTAAACTTTAACATTGACGGTCTTCCGATTTCAAAAAGATCACAGAGAAGCGTGTGGCCAATTTTGGTCAATGTTACTGGTACAGAAGAGGTTTTTGTCGTTGGTATATTTTGTGGAAAGTCTCATCCAACAAATGTTGATAAATATTTGAGCGAATTTGTCGAAGAACTCAACGAGTTATTACAAAATAACTTTGTTTACGAAGGCAAATCGTATAATGTAACTTGCCGAGCATTTATTTGTGATNCATGGAGAGGAACCGACGCGAAAATTGCGCTCGCAGTTTAACGATTGCCTTAGCTATACGTCGTAAGTATATAAACTAACTTAATAACAACGCAACTAAGCAATTTAATAAGCTTATTAAGCTAGCTAGAGGAAACAGATTCCTGACAGATTCTTATTTACTTTTACTTTCAATTCAAAATTATTTTCAGAGACCTTCATACATGAGAATGGCGGTGATGAAGCGGAATATATAGCTGCATCGAAGTCGTTTTTCCAATTTGCCAATAATCGCATGAAATTAAAAGCTGCTGCTGCTTAATGTTGTG